GATAAGACTGGAGCGCAGAGGTCACGCTTTAATCCTAGCACTCTGGGAGGCGAGTGGGCGGATTGCTTGAGGTCAGAGTTCAAAACCAGCTGAGCAAGAGCAAGACCCGTCTCTACTATAAATAGAAGAAATTAATGGCCAACTAATTATATATAAAAATTAGCTGGGCATAGTGGCACATGCCTGTAGTCCCAGCTACTCATGAGGCTGAGGCAACAGGATTGCTTGAGCCCAGAGTTTGAGGTTGCTGTGAGCTAGGCTGATGCCATGGCACTCACTCTAGCCTGGGCAACAAAGTGAGACTCTGTCTCAAAACAAAAAAAAGAAAAGAAAAGAAAGATTAGCCAGGCGCAGTGGTGAGTGCCTGTAATCTCAGCTACTCAGGAGGCTGAGGCAAGAGGATCACTTGAGCCCAGGAGTTTGAGGTTGCTGTGAGCTAGGCTGACACCACGGCACTCACTCTAGCCTGGGCAACAAAGCGAGACTCTAGCCCAGGTAACAGAGTGAGACTGTGCCTCAAAAAAAAAAAGAAAGAAAAAATAAATAAACTAAAATGTACACATCTTAAGTGTACAACATGATACTTCTACACATTTATACATGTAACCAACACCCAGACAAAGGATAAACACTTCCAGCCAGGAGGCCCTCATGCCGCAGCCCAGACAGCTGGCCCACAAAGGCAGTGACTGGTTTCCTATCATCATGGATTCTTTGCTTATTTTGAACTGCACGTAAATGAACACAGTGTGTAATTTTTCATGGCTGGCTTCCCTAATTATGCCATGAGATTCACTCATGTTATTTCGAATCTGCATGTCCTTGATTTTCGATATGGTATTATACTGATCGATAATATTACAACTTGTTATTCTTCTACTGCTGATGAACATTTTGTTTTCAGTTTTAGTTGTTTGTTGTGTCATAGAGTACCAAAATCTACTCTTGTAGCAAACTTCCCATACATATACAATTATTAACTCTAGTCCCCCTGATTTACATTAGATGTCTAGACTTATTCAACCTACATAACTACCACCTGTACCTTCAACCTACATTCCCCCATTGGCCCCACACCCCTGCCTTGGTAACCCAATTCTACTCTCTGTTTCTATGTATTGATTTTTTTAAAGATTCCACCTATAAGTGAGATCATGCAGTATTTTCTTTCGCATCTGGTTGTTTCGCTTAGCACAATTCACTCTGGGTTCATCCATGTGTTTTTAGTGACTATACGAATAAAACTGCTGTGAACATTCTTTTCTTCAATAGAGCATAATTCACGTGCCAATAAATTAACCCTTTTAAAGTATACGAGTTAAGTTTTAATATATTTACAATATGTGCAGCCACCACCTTACCTAATCCAGAACATTTTTACCATCGCCCAAAAGAAACTCCATACCCGTAACAGTTCCTCCCCATTCTCCCTCGCCAGCTTCTGGCAACCCCCAATCTACATTTGGTCTCTCATGGATTGCCTACTCTGGACATTTCATATAACAGAATCATACAATTGTGCCTTTTGTGTCTGGCTTCTTGGGCTGTGAACATTCTTGTACACAGCTTTTACAGGCAGATAAGCACTCATTTCCTTTGGGATATACCCAGGAGTGAATTTCTGGGTCACGTGTATGTACGTGTGCAGCTCGGTAGGAAATGGCAAATGCTTATTGTAAAGGGCTATCTGTTTACCCTCTACGCCTGACGGCTTCGCCTTCCTGAAAATGTGATGGTTCAGCCAGCCTTTGGACGTGCAGATGAGGACAACTCCTAGGGTTGTCGATGGTAGCGAAAAACCCCGAGCAACCTAGATGCCATGAGTCCCCACCTTGGGCCCCTCGCCTCTGGACCGTTGTGTTGAGAGAGAAACCTTGTCTCATCAGCCATTGTTCGCCGGGTCTCTGTTACAACAGCCTGTATTCTAAACACTAACAAAGGTGGAAATACAGCGTATGGGACCTTGGGGAAGGAGAGTAAATTCACAGAGGAGAGGTTTGGCAAGGCTTCACTGAGGTGATAACTTTTGAATTGGTTTGAAGGATAAATAGAAATTTGGGAGGAAAAAGAAAACACAAAACCTTCTTTGTAGCTATGAGTGGACGCAGGGACATTTCTGTCTGTGTAACTGGAACAGAGGTGTAAGAGGACATCTATTTTCCTGCCTAGCACACAGTCCCTATTCCTGAAAGGGCAACTGCAATTTCTTTCAGAGAATTGCATTCCCCTAGGCCCTGGGGAAGGCACGTGACCAGCTTGACCAAACAAGGCAGTGCATCCTCCTGATTGGGTTCAAAGTCATGTGACACCATCTAAGCCAATGAAAATCAGCCCTGGACTTTTCCCAGAATGACTAAAGAACAGACTTTCTCTACTAGTTGATTAGCAGGAGCCTGCAAGCATCTTGTCTTAATCTTTCTATTTTTACTAGGGATGAGGTCTTTCTCTTGCTCAGGCTGGTCTCAAACTCCTGACATCAAGCGATCCTCCTGCTTCGGCCTCCCAGAGTGCTAGGATTACAGGCGTGAACCACTGTGCCCAGCGCGTTATGCCTTACTTTGAAAGAGCATTCTTTTCAAATTGACCTAGAGATCGTATCCATGCCTTCACCTCATTGGCTGCAGCTTAGTCACATGCCCACATCTGGCTGCAAGGGAGGCTGGGAAATAGTGTCTAAGCCAGGTCCTATGGGGGAAGGGCTTGTCATACTGTCATGTGTCACAGTTGTACAGTTCTCCTGTTAATCATCATTCTCCTTTGGCGTGGGGCCACTGAGCTTAGCAGCCTGTCTTCTAACACTGGGGGCTCAGCGTGCGCTTGGTGAGTTTGAATGTTTTTGACTGGGGCCGCCTGTAAAGGTCACGGGCCTCACAGGTCTCTCCTTCCAGGCTCTACTTGAATCTGGTACTCGGCAACGTGAACGTGACCCTCCTCAGCAACCAGGCCAAGTGAGTGTGCCCAGCCCCCACCTGGCTCCTAGGAATCCAGGCAGTTTGCTCTTTCAACTCAGGGAAGATGGGTCTAAGCTAGAGTTTTTGCATAAATAAAAAAACATTAACAGGGCTCTGGCTTTGGGTATTTTTCACACTTCACTTCTCAGTGGGGAGACCACCTGGGGGAGATTTCCTTGCTTCCTTCCACAATATGGTAGGTGGACAGGACTCCCCGTTTCCCATGGGAAATGACTCTGTTTCTCATGGGAAGTGGGGCAGCCCTGTCCACCCTGAACCCATCCCATTTCCAGGCAGAATGGAACCCTGGCATTTCTGCCACAGCAGTTGGCTGAGGGAGGAGACCCTGTCTCTGACCCCGCCCATTCCCAACACCGGCCCCGTACCCTAAGCCACGAGTCCAGGGGACATGCGGAACTTTTCTCCCCAGTTGGTCGCCACCATTAATTCCAGGCCAGGCCTCTCCTTCAGGGGGCTGGGAAGGTCCTTGTGGCACAAGGGAGTGGCAGCAGGTTGAGGAGCTGATGGAGCTGAGCGTCCCGCACTCAGACAGTAGAGTAGTGACAGTCTGTGACCTTTCCTGGGGGGGGTGGGCGTCTCCGTGCCAGGTTCGCCTACAAGGACGAGTACGAGAAGTTCAAGCTCTACCTGACCATCATCCTGCTCCTGGGCGCGGTGGCGTGTCGATTTGTCCTTCACTACAGGTAACAGGCTATGGTGACGTGTGCGGGGCGTGAGGAGGTGGCCCGGGGAGAGGGGTCCAGGGCCAGCCCTGCTTCTGTGGAGTGGAATGTTACTCAGCCGTAGGGAGAGACTAAGGGCTGACACGCACCACAACACGAGTGAACCTTGGGAACGTCACGCTGGGTGGAAGAAGCCAGTCCCGAAAGGCCATGTCGCATGACTCCTTTGATGTGAAATGTCCAGAACAGGCAAAGCCATAGATAGAGACAGAGCAGATAGGTGGTTGCCAGGGCCTGGGGCGGGGAGGGGTGGGTACTGCTGTTGGGTACAGGGTTTCTTTTTGGAGTGATGAGAATGTTCTGGAATCAGGTAATGGTGGTCGTTGCACAACTCTGAAGACACTAAAGATCACTACATTGTGTACTTTAAAAAGGGCAGATTTCATGCTATGTGAATTGTATCTCAATTACGAAAAAAAGAAAGGAAGACAGAAGAAAAAGAGCCTGGCCGGGCTGTCTGGGTTTGGATCCTGGCTTTGAGACCAGCTGGCTCAGGGCAGTTCCCTCTGGGCTCCCCGTGTCCCCATCTGTAAAAACGGAGGGGGGGTGGCGGCAGTCCCTGCCTCCCAAGCTTGTGATGACTCAGGGAGTGGACACGCTTGGCCCAGGCTGGCACGCGGCCGTGCCTCGAGAGTCCAGCTGCCACCGTCCGCACAGGACAAGGCTGCACGGCTCTGGGAGGCTGAGGCTCCTGCCCGCGGGTCCCTCTCTCTGGCCCTGGATTTTCTGCCCCCCGGGGAGGCAGCCAGGAACAGCTCGGGCATTTGGCCCACGTGCCAAGGGCTGATTTCCTGGCAGGCGCTTGGCTGGCAGTCAGCTGCTTGTCTGGCCACTTGAATGTCCTAACAAAGGCTCTTTTAGGGCCTGAGCCTGTGCCCACCTGCTGCCTGGGCCCAGGCCCCTCTGCACGAGGGCAAAGGCTGCACACACCAGTGACGCCTTCCCACGTGTCCCTCGGAAGGGGGTAAAAGTTCTCAGTGTGCAACTGGACGCCCTCATGCCGGGGCCTCCGGGGCCCTCAGAGGGCCAAGCCCGAGCGTGCTGCCAAGGCCTGAGGCTCTCGAGGGCCCCGCGTTTCCATTCTCCCCACCCCCTTCTGGAGTAGCCTCCTAGGGCTGCCAGGACAGAGTGCCACCATCTGGGGGACCAAACAACAAAAATATATTTTCTCCCAGTCCTCGAAGCCTAAAGTCCGAGAGCGAGGCATTGGCCGGACAGTGCTGGCCCGGAAGGTGGGGGGGGGGATTCTCCCCGACTCTCTGACTTCTGGGGGTCGCCGGCCATCCTTGGCGGAAAGTCATTTCACGCCAGTCTCTGCCTTTGTCGTCACATGATCCCTTCCCTGTGTGTGTGTCTCTCTTGTGTGGCCTTCCTGTAAGGACACCAGTTGTTGGGTTTAGGGCCCCCTCAACCCGGTATGCCGTCCCCGTAGCTAGTTACACCCACAGAGATCCTATGTCCAAGTCAGATCACATTCTGGGGGCGCGGTGGGCGTGAATTTGGGGGATGCTGTTCCACCCAGTACACCTTACATTTGCGCAGCGCGGGGCAGAGCAGGAGGCTGGCTGGACGTGCAGTTCTTCTGTGTCCCGGCGCCCGCAGGGAAGCTTGCCCTGCTCTTCATTCCGGGCCAATGACCTCGTCTGTCCCTGCCTCGGTTTCTTCGCGTAGAAAACGAGGGCTACAGGGGCTGCTTGGTGTGGCATTGTGAGGACTGAGTTATATCCGGAGAGTGTTTAGACAGGTGACTGGCACGTCAGTGCTGTAAGTGTTAGTGCTTGTTTTTAGTGCCACCGGCACTTTGGGCTAAGACTGGACATATACGAAAAGGCTCACAGCTTGCTATCCGGTGTGTCCGAGTAGCAGGATTCTCTTTCCTTACTCTTGCCCCCTTGGGATCCCTTCCTGGCTGGGAGCCCTACCTAGAGGCCCTTCTTGGTACCCCTAAACCCGCAGCTGGGCATAGCCAAAACCCTCCAGAGCCCTGGGCTCTAGGTCCAGTTCTGCCACTCACCAGCTGTGTGGCCTTGAGTAGAACACTTGGCCTCTCTGTGCCTGCTTCATCATCTTTCCCGTGAGCTCCAGGACACCTACGCTGCCGGAGCTGCCTGGTCTTTAGGAGCTTTGGTGAGGTAAACGATCCTCCTGCCTCAGCCTCCCGAGTAGCTGGGACTACAGACATCGGGGCGCAAAGCAGATCAGAAGGCTAAGAATTACACACTCTGGGGGCAGTTACAGGTTCCCCAAACCAACAGCCAGCCAGGTGGATAAATAATAAACCCAACTCGGCCGGAGCGAAGGAGCTCAAGCCTGATATACCTAGAATACTGAGATGAAGACCAGAGCAAATGAGGAAAGGCCAGGTGCAGCCGGAGTAACAAAACCAGCCGAAGCACAAGAGAGACACAAACTGTATCTACTAAAATAGAAAGAAATTATATATGAGGACCACTATATTAATAGAAAAAAATCAGCCAGGCATGGACATCATAAAGAACCAGCCCTTACATCATAGAGCTGAGCAGGTGAGATAAGCATTGACCAGGAGTATTATGAAGTATTGCATATAGAGCAGGCCTGACCCCAACACACACATCAGAGACCAACACAAAACATGA